ATGAAAATAATGATTATGATAATAAGCATTTTTATATGATAGTGATAGATAAATAAAAGTGGAGTAAATCAGTAGAACAAAGAGATGAATTAATAAATAAATGAATTAATGAAATGTAAAATAAATAGACAAATAAAACAAATACATAACCATAAAATAAGTTTAATAAATGAATCAAATATAAAAAAGATAAATAAAAGTGATATAAAACATAAACCAAAATACATAACCATAAAATAAGCCAGGAAATGAAACAGAAACAGAAAGAAATAAGTGAATAAAAGTGACATAAAACATAAACCAAACAACCATAAAATGTCAAGAAATGAAACAAAAACAAAGAAGTAAATGAATAAAAGCGACATAAAACATAAACCGAACAAACCAATAGATGACTGAATTCCCTTCTCCCCTTCTCCCCCTTCTCCCCCCCTCCCCCCCCTCGTCGTGCCCCAGGGGAAGTGCGTGGCGATGGGTGCGACCACGTGGTGGGGTCCCAAGAGCAGGAGGACGAGTGCGGGGTCTGCGGCGGCGACGGGGCCACGTGCGAGCGCCGGGAGGTCGTCTACGAGCAGGTGCCTCCGCCAGGTGGGTGTCCTCTGGGAGGTTGAAGGGATGGGCGGGTGGGTGGGGGGTGTTCAGTTTTTTTTTTTTTTTTTTTTTTTTTTGAGACGATTGATGAACGATCTGTGAAGTAAAAAAAAAAAAATATATATATATCCTTTGTCTCTCTGTGTGTGTAAAGACTTCCATTAAAAGAAATAAAGAAAAGGATCTTTTTATTCTCTCTCTCTCTCTCTTTCTCTGTCTCTGCCTCTCTCTCTGTCTCTCTGTCTCTCTGTCTCTCTGTCTCTCTGTCTCTGTCTCTCTGTCTCTCTGTCTCTCTGTCTCTCTCTCTCTCTCTCTCGTCTCTCTCTCTCTCTCTCTCTCTCTCTCTCTCTCTCTCTCTCTCTCTCTCTCTCTCTCTCTCTCTCTCTCTCTCTCTCTCTTCTCTCTCTCTCTCCCTCTCTCCTTCCCTCCCTCCCTTCCCTCCCTTCCCTCCCTCTCCCTCTCCCTCTCCCTCCTCCTCTCTCCCTCCTTCCTCTCTCCCTCCTTCCCTCTCTCCCTCTCTCCCCTCCTTCCTCCTTCCCTCTCTCCCTCCTTCCCCTCCCCCTCTCCTCCCTCCTCTTCCTCTCCCTCTCCCTCCCTTCCCTCTTCCCCTCTCCCTCCTCTCCTCTCCCCTCTCCCTCTCTCTCCCTCCCCCTCCCCCTCCCTCCCATCCCATCCCATCCCTCCCATCCCATCCCCCTCCCCTCATCCTCCCTCCCCCCTTACCCATTCCCCTCCCTCCCTCTCCCCCCCCCATACCCACCCTGACCCCGCCCCCTCCGCCCGCAGGCTACAGCGTGGTGGCCCGACTTCCCGTGGGCGCCCGTAGTATAGCCGTCCGGGAGGAGCTCGCCACGCCCAACTTCCTGGCACTCGGACCCGACAACAACAACAACAACAACAACAACAACAACAACAACAACGTCAGGAACATCACGGTGCCCAGTGTCATCTTCCTGAACAGCGGCGGCACTCAGGAACCTCCGATGAGTATCGTCTGTGAGTATTAAAAAAAACAACAAGAAAAACGATGAATGAAAAAAAAGAAATATAAACAAAACAAGAAAAATGATAATGAAAAAGAAAACAAACAAAACGAGAAAACGATGAATGAAAAAAAGAAACCTAAACAAAACGAGAAAAATGATGAATGAATATATTGATTAGATGAATAGATGAATAGATGAATATATAAATAGAATGAAGAATGAACAAAAAAAGAAAAATAATGAATGAATATATTTAATTAAATGAATAGATAAATAGATAAATAAAATGAAAAATAATAAAAAAAAAGAAAAATAATGAATGATTAGGAATTAAATGAATAGATAGATATATAGATAAAATGAAAAATAAGAAATGTAAAAGAATGATTTTTTTAAATTGGTCAAGAGTTTGGTTCATGGAAGATGGAAAAAATAAAGGGTTGACTAAAACAAAATTGATAAAATGAGGAAATGGAAAACAAAAGATGTTATTCCTGCTCCTGGTTTATTGTGTCTAAAGATACTTGTGTATAATTAATACTGTTTTAAACTTATTTCTATTGTATAATTATATTAGATATTTAGACATTCATATTATATGCTCATATTAGGTACTTACCTAAACTAACTAATATTGTATATTTATAATATATACATGTCTAAAATCATTTTTCATTTTATTTTATGTCTGTATTAGATATTTTTAAAAAAATCAATTTATTTATATGTCTGTCAGATATTTAAACCATTTTTCATTTTATTTATATGTCAGATATTTAAACAATTTTTCATTTTATTTGTATGTCTATATTAGATATTTAAACGTCATTCTTAATTTTGTTTATATATCTATTAGGTATTTAAACCATTTTTCATTTTATTTACATGTCTTAGATATTTAAACCATTTTTCATTTTATTTATATGTCTATTAGATTTTTCATTTTATTCGTGTCTGTATCAGATATTTAAACCATTTTTCATTTTATTCATATATCTGTATCAGATATTTAAACCCAATTTCGAGCCAAAACTCCCAAGATTGAAGACCTTCACCCCCTCCCCCTCTCCCCCCTCCAGGCAAGGGCGCGAGGTTCCACTACAGCGACTCCGACGGGCGTGAGCTCCTGCAGGCGCGCGGACCCCTGCTACGCCCAGTCCTCGTCCTGGTGAGTCCCTGGTTCCTACGCCCACCCCTACCCCCCACGCCCACCCGCCACCTCCTCTCCTCTCTCGCTACCCTCAGTCGAGAGTAGGCGGTGTTGAGGGTGTGGGTGTGGTGTGAGGGGTGTGTGGATGTGGGTGTGGGTGGGTGGGCGGGTGTGTGCGTGTGTGTGTGTGTGTGTGTGGTGTGGGTGTGTGTGTGTGTGTGTGTGTGTGTGTGTGTGTGTGTGTGTGTGTGTTTAAGGGAATTTGAGAGCCTAGCTCCTTATACTTTAACCCCAAGATGCTACATGCCTATACGTGTCCTCCCTCTCGACGCGCTCGCCCTTGAACCGCTCGACTCTTAGACCCGTCCTCCTCGACCCCCGCTCGCCCTTGACCCTCGATCTCAGCCGCTCCCCTTGACCCTCCTCCTGACCCCTACCTCCTCGACCCCTCCCCCTTGACCACTCCCCCTCGACCCTCCCCCTGACCCTCCCCCTCGACCGCTCCCTGTGACCCCTCCCCTCGACCCCTCCCCCTGACCCCTCCTCCTTTGACCCTCCACTCGACCGCTCCCCTTGACCCCTCCTCCTCGACCCTCCTACCTTGACCCATCCCCTCGACCGCCTCCCCCTTGGACCCTCCCCCTTGACCGCTCCCCCGTTATCCCTCTCCTCGTGACCCGCTCGCCCTTGACCCTCTCCCCATGTTGACTGCCTCCTCCTCGACCCTCCCGACCGCCTCCTCCTCGAACGCCTCCCCCTTGACCCTCCCCTTCTGACCCGCTCCCCCTTGATCCCTCCGCCTCCGCTCGAGGACCGCTTCCCCCTTGATCCCTCCTCCCCATTGACTCGCTCCTCCTCCTGACCGCTCCCACCTTGAATCCCCTCCCTCTCCGACCGCTCCCACCGCCTTGATCCCCTCCTCGACACGCTTCCCCCTCGACCCCCTCTCTCCCTCGACCGCTCGCCCTTTGACCCTCCTCCTCCGACCGCTCCCCCTTGATCCCTCCTCCTGCGACCGCTCCCCTTGATCCGCCCCTCCGGCTCGAACCCTCCGCCGCCTCACCTCACTACCGATTCTCATTAAGCCGAGAAACAGTTTTACTCCAATACATGAGGAGAGAAAGAGAGAGAGAGGAGCCAGAGGAGAGCAGAGAGGTAGCGGAGACGACGAGAGGAGATGAGAGATAAGAAGAGAGAGTTCCATTCTATCATGGTCATCATCCCTCGTAGCATCCTTCTCCTCTTCTCTTCTCGATATCCTCGTCTTCCCCCTCCTCTCTCCGCTCCTCTCTCCTCTCCCTCCCCTCCCTTGATCCCTCCTCCTCGACCCGCTCGCCCCCTTGACCCCTCTCACTCGACCGCTCCCACCTTGACCGACCTCCTCTCCTCGACTCGTCTCCATCCTTGACCCCGATCCTCCTCGAACAGCTCCCCTTTGACCTCCTCCTCGACCCCTCGCCCCTTGACTCCTCCGCCCTTGACCCCGTCACCTCGAGACGCTGCTCCACCCTTGGAAAACCCCTCCTCCTCGAGAAACCGCTCCACCCCTTGACCCTCTCACTCGACCGCATCGCCCCTTGGAACGACCCGCTCCTCCTCGACCCCTCCCCTTGACCCCCCTCCTCGACCCCTCCCCCTGACCCTCCTCCTCGACCCCATCCCCCTTGACCCTCCTCCTGACCAGCTTCCCCTTGATCCGCTCTCCTCGAACCGCTCGCCCTTGGACCCTCCTCCTCGGACTCGCCTCCCCCTCGAACCCTCCTCCTCGAGACCGCTCCCCATATGACCCCTCCTCCTCGACGCTGCCCCATGACTCTCCTCCTCGACCCTCCCATTGACCACCCTCCTCCTCGCCGTCCCGCCATTGACTCCTCCATCCTGCGACCGCTCCCCTTAGACCTCTCCTCGACCGCCCCCTCGACCCCTCCTCCTCGAACCGCTCCCCTTGACCCCTCCTCCCTCGACGCGCTCCCCCTCGACCCTCCTCCTCTGACCGCGCTCCCCTTGACCCTCCTCCTCGCTGCCGAACCGCTTCGCCCCTTGACGCTCCTCGCTCGACGCGCTCCCCCTTGATTCCCCTCCTCCTCGGGACCGCTCCCCTTGTCCCTCCGCCTCGACCGCTCCCCCTCGAACCCCCTCCTGCCTCCGACCGCTCGCGTCCATTGACCCCTGCCTCCGCTCGACGCTTCTCCGCCTTGATCCCTCCTCCTCGATACCGCTCCCACATTGAACCGCCTCCTCCTCGACCGCTCCCCATTGACTCCCTCCTCTCGACCGCTCCCATTGACCGACCCCTCCTCCTCGAACCGCTCCCCATTGACCCCCTGCCTCCTCGACCCCTCCCCCTTGACCCCGTCCCCTTGACGCCCTCCACCTCGCACGCGCGTCCCCTTGACCCTCTGACGCAGTCCCCTTGACATCCTCCCTCGACCTCGCCCTTGAACGCCGCTCTCCTCGACCCTACCCCCTTGACCTCCCTCTCCTCGACCCCTCCCCTTGACCCCTCCTGCCTTCGCTCCCTCCCAGCCTTGACCCGTCCTCCTCGACCTCCCCTTGACCCCTCCTCCTCGACCGGCTTCCCCCATTGACCCCTCCTCCTCGACCGCTCCCCATTGACTCTCCCTCCTCCTCGAGACGCTCCCCTTGACCCCTCCTTCGACCGCTCCCCCTGACCCTCTCCTCGACCGCTCCCCCTTGACCCCCTCCCCCTGACCCTCCCCCTCGACCGCTCCTGCCTCGACCCTCCCCTCCCTTGACACTCTCCTGACCGCTCGCCCCTCGACCGCCTCCTCCTCGACCGCTCCCGCCCCCCTCCCCCTCCCTTGACCCCTCCTCTCGCTCCTCGAAACCCTCCCCCCTCGACCCTCCTCCTCCTGCGACCCTCACCTTGATCCCTTCTCGCTCGCCCTTGATCCCTCCTCCTCAACCGCTCCCCATTGACTCCTCCCCTCGACCGCTCCCCCTTGACCCCTGCCTCCTCGACCCCTCGCGACTCGCTCCCCCTCTCCTCCCCTCCTCCTCGAACCGCTCCCCCTTGACACCCTGCCTCCTCGACCGCTCGCCGCCCTTCGACCGATCCCTCTCCTGCGGAGACCGCTCCGCCCTTGACCCCTCCTCCTCGACCCCTCCCCGCCCCCCCTTGACCGCCCCTCCTCCTCCTCGACCGCTCCCCCTTGCCCTTCGACCCCTCCCCCTCTCGAAGCGCTCCCCCTCATGACCGCTCCGCCTTCGAACCCTCCCTCCTGACCTCTCTCCTTGACCCTCCTCCTGCGACCCTTTGACTCCTCCTCCTCGACCGATCGCCCAGCTTCCTTCCTCCTCCTCGACCCCCTGACCCCTCCCCTCGACCGCTCCCCCTTGACCCTCCTCCTCGACCGCTCCCCTCGACCTCCTCTCCTCGACCGCTCCCCTTGACCCTCCTCCTCGACCCGCTCCCCCTTGACCCTCCCCTCGAACCCCTCCTCCTCGACCGTCCCCCTTGACCCCCTTCCTCGACCGCTCCCCCTTGACCCCTCCTCCTCGCAACCGCTCCTTGACCCCTCCTCTCGACCGGCTCCCCCTTGACCCCTTCCTCTCGACCGCTCCCCTTGATCCTCCTCCTCGAACCGCTCCCCTTGACCCTCCTCCTCGACGCTCCCCTTGACACCCCTCCTCGACCGCTCCCCCTTGACCCTCTCTGCTCCCCTTGATCCCTCCTCCTCGACCGCTCCCCTTGACCCTCCTCGCTCCCCTTGTGCTCTCCTCCCCTCGACCGCTCCCCCTTGACCCCTCCTCCTCGACCGCTCCCCTTGATCCTCCTCCTCGACCCCTCCCGCTTGACCCCTCCTCCTCGACCGCTCCCCCCTCTCCTCGACCGCTCCCCTTGATCCCTCCTCCTCGACCGCTCCCCTTGACCTCCCTCCTCGACCGCTCCCCCTTGACCCCCTCTCCTCGACGCTCCCCTTGACCGCCTCCTCCTCGACCGCTCCCCCTCGACCCTCCTCCTCGAACGCTCCCCTTGGACTCCTCCTCCTCGACGCTCCCCCTTGACTCCCTCCTCCTCGACGCTCCCCTCTTGGACCCTCCTCCTCGGCCGCTTGACTCCTGCCTCCTCCCCCCTGACCTCCTCCTCGACCGCTCCCTTGACCCCTCCTCCTCGACGCCCCCCTGACCCTCCTCTCGACCGCTCCCCTTGACTCTCCTCCTCGACCGCTCCCCGACCCTCCTCTCGAGGCTCCCCTTGACCCCTCCTCCTCGACCGCTCCCTTGGACCCTCTCCTCGGACCGCTCCCCCTGACCCTCCTCCTCGACGCGCTGCCCCTCGACCTCCTCCTCCTCGACCGCTCCCCTTGAACTCCTCCTCCTCGACCGCCTCCCCCCTTGCCTCGCTCGACCGTCCCTCGACCCCTCCTCTCGACCGCTCCCCCTTGATCCTCTCTCGACCCTCCCCTTGACTCCTCTCCGACCGCTCCTTTGACTCCTCCTCCTCGACCCCGCCCTCCCCTTGACTCCTCTCCTCGACGAACCGCTCCCCTCGACCCCTCCTCCTCGAGCTCGCCCCATTGACTCTCCTCCTCGACCGCTCGCCCTTGACCTCTCCTCGACCGCTCCCCTTGACCCTCCTCCGACCTCCCCTTGACTCTCTCCTCGACGCTCCCCTTGACTCCTCCTCCTCGACGCTCCCTTGACCCTCCTCCTCGACCGCTCCCCGACTCTCTCGACCGCTCCCTTGATCTCCTCCTCGACCGCTCCCTTGACCCCTCTCGAACGCGCTCCCCCTTGACTCCTCCTCCTCGACCGCTCCCCTGACCGCTCCTCCTCGACCGCTCCCCTTGACTCCTCCTCCTCGACCGCCTCCCTCTTGACCCCTCCTCCTCAGACCCTCCCCCTTGACCCTCCTCCTTCGAACGCTCCCCTCGATCCTCCTCCTCGACCGCTCCTCTTGATCCCTCCTCCTGACCCTCCCCTTGACCCCTCCTCCTCGACCGCTCCCCCTTGAACCCCTCCTCGCCGCTCCCCCATTGACTCTCCTCCTCTGACGCGCTCCTTGACCCCTCCTCCTCGACCGCTCGCCCTTGACCCCTCCTCCTCGACCGCTCCCCCTTGACCCCTCCTCCTCGACCGCTCCCCCTTGACCTCCTCCTCGACCGCTCCCCTTGACCCCTCCTCCTCGACCGCTCCCCTGCCTCCTCCTCGACCCTCCCCTTGACCCTCCTCCTCGACCCTCCCCCCTTGACTCCTCCTCCTCGACCGCTCCCCCTTGACCGCTCCTCCTCGACGCTCCCCCTTGACTCCTCCTCCTCGACCTCCCCCTGACCTCCTCCTCCTCCCCTTGATCCTCCTCCTCCCTCCCCCTTGACTCCTCCTCCTCGACCGCTCCCCCTTGACTCTCCTCCTCGACCCTCCCCTTCGACCCGTCCTCCTCGACCGCTCCCCCTTGACCCTCCTCCTCGACCGCTCCCCTTGACTCCTCCTCCTCGAACCGCTCCCCTCGACCCCTCTCCTCGACCGCTCCCCCTTGACTCCTCCTCGACCTCCTCCCCTTGACTCTCCTCTCGAACCGCTCCCCTTGACTCCTCCTCCTCGACCGCTCCCCCCCTTGACTCCTCTCCTCGACCGCTCCCTTGACCCTCTCCTCGACCGCTCCCCTTGACCCCTTGACTCCCCTCGACCCCTCCTCCTCGACCCTCCCCCTTGACCCCTCTCCTCGACCGCTCCCGCTCGACCCCCCTTGATCCCTCCTCCTCGACCGCTCCCCCTTGACCCCTCCTCCTCGACCGCTCCCCTTGCTCCTCGACCGCTCCCCATTGACCCTCCTCCTCGACCGCCTCCCCCTTGACCTCCTCCTCGACCCCTCCCCTTTGACTCCTCCTCTCGACCCGCTCCCCCTTGACCCCTCCTCCTCGACCCGCTCCCCCTTGAACCGCTCCTCCTCCTCGACCGCTCCCCCTTGATCCCTCCTCCTCGACCGCTCCCCCCTTGAACCCTCCTCCTCGACGCTCCCCTTGACCCTGCCTCGACTCGACCCCTCCCCTTGACTCCTCCTGACCTGCGACCGCTCCCCCTTGACCCCTCTCGCTCTCGACCGCCTCCTCGCTTGACCTCCTCTCCCTTGACCCGCTCCCGCTTGACCTGCTCCTCGACGCCGCTCCCCTCGACCCTCCTCCTCGCCGCGCTCCCCCGACCGCTCCCCTTGACCTCCTCCTCCACCGTCGACCCGTGCCCCTTGACCCCTCCTCCTGCCTTGCGAACGCCCCTCTCCTCGACGTCCCTCCTCGACTCCTCCTCCTCGACCGCTCCTCCCCTTGACCGCCGATCCTCCTCGACCATCCCCCTTGACCTCTCCTCCTCGACCGCTCCCCCTTGAACTCCTCCTCTCGGAGAGCACACGCATTAGCTCTCTACACTTTAGACCCGCTCCTCCCGCGAGTGTCTGCGCTCTCCCGAGTTGGCTCCGTACTCCTCGCTGGACGGAACTCTCCTCGAGAGGATACTCTCTCCTTCCGTGCTGCGAGAGGCTTCCAAATTCTTTTGAACTTTCTCTGCTCCTTGCACTGGCTCGTCCCACGTGTCTGTAAGACAGCGTCTTTTCTCCTGTCTTAATGATATCCGTCTCCTAGCAGTGTCATTGTGCGTGTCCCTTCCCTCCCGTTCGCTCATACATCGCGTCCTGTCTCTTCTCGATCGCATCCTCGTTCTCTCACTTGATACGTCGACGCCTGATCTCTTTGCGATGCTTGATCCCCCATTCTAGAACTCCTCCTGTCTTCGACTCCTGCCCTGTTTCTTCTCTCTCTCTGTACCCTCCTCTTCCTTTCGACGCTCTCTTGCTCGTCCTCTTTGTATCCTGCCTTCTGCTGGATGCGTCGTGTCCCATGCTGGATTGTGTCTCTCTCCTGCGATCCGCTCTCCTTGTGACTGTCCTCCTTCGTACTTTCGCCCGCACCCGCCATTCCTCCTCTGACCCCCTCTCTCCTCGACCGCTCCTCCGCTCTTGACCCCTCTCCCTTCCCTCGACGCCCGCTCTCCCTTGGACTCTCCCTCTCTTCCTCTCTTCGACCCGCTCCCTGTGACTCCCCTCACCTCATCCGTGCCCGACCGCACCCTTTGACACCCTCCTCCTCTCAGAGCCACCAGCCCTCCCTTCCGTTTCGCACCATTGCGCTCCGCATACTTGCACGTCGACGCACCGTCCCTCTGATTCCTTCAGACCTCACGACCCCTACACAAACACAGAATGATGAAAATCCGTACACTCTTCTCTCGAACGCTCAATCTCCTTTATCGCATCGTGCCATCTCCTCTCGCCTCTGACGCTCACCCTTGACGCCCTACCCCTCGACGGCTCCCCTTGACCAGCTCCTCTCGACACCGCTCCCCCCTTGAACCCCATCCTCCTGCTCCCTTGCCCCCTCCTCCTCGACCGCCTCCCCTGCGACCACTTCCTTCGACCCCTCCTCTCCCTCCCCCTTGACCCTCCCTCCTCGACCGCTCCAACCCTCCTCCTCGACGCCCCTCCTCTTGACTCGACCTCCCCCTTGACCCCTCCTCCTCGGACCGCTCCCCCTTCGACCCCTCTCCTCACCGCTCGACCTCCTCCTTGACCCCTCCTCCTCGACCGCTCCCTTGACCCCTCTCTCGACTCCCTTGACCCCTTCCTCCTCGACCCTCCGCCCTTGACCCCTCCTCCTCGACCCCTCCCCCTTGACCCCTCCTTGACCCTCTCCTCTGACCCCCCCTTGACCCCTCCTCCTCGACGCTCGCCCTTGATCCTCCTCCTCGACGCCTCCCCCTTGACCTCCTCTCGACTCCCTTGATCCTCTCCTGCGACCTCCCCCTTGACCCTCCTCCTCGACCCTCCCCTGACCCCTCCTCGACCCTCATTGACCCCTCTCCTCGACCCTCCCCTTGACCCCTCCTCCTGCGACCGCTCGCCGCCCTTCTCCCCCTCCCCTTGAACCCCTCCTCCTCGACCGCTCCCCTTGATCCCTCCTTCGACCGCTCCCCCTTTCCCTCCTCACGCTCCCCTTGATCCCTCCTCCTGCCCTACCCTTGACCCTCCTCCTCGACCCTCCCCCTTGACCCCTCCTCCCCCTCCCCGACCCTCTCTACGTTCCGCCTTGATCCCTCTAGACGGCTCCCCCTTGCCCTCCATCCTCGACCGCTCGCCTTGACCCCTCTCCTCGACCCTCCCCCTTGATCCCTCCTCTCCGACCGCTCCCCTTGATCCCTCCTCTCGACCCTCCCTTGAACCCTCCTCCCGACCCCTCCCTTGGACCCCTCCTCCTCGACCGCTCCCCCCTTGACCCCTCCTCCCCATTGACTCCTCTCCTCGACCTCCCCCTTGACGTCCTCCTCCTCGACCGCTCCGCCCTTGACCTCCTCCTCGACGCTCGACCGCTCCCCCTTGATCCCTCCTCCTCGACCGCTCCCCCTTGATCCCTCCTCCTCGACCACCCTCCCCTCTCGACGCCCTCCCCTCGACCCTCCTCGTCCCCCCATTGACCCTTCCTCCTCGACCGCTCCCTTGACCTCCCCTTGACCCTCCCCTGACGCCCCTCCCTCCTTGACCCACCTCCTCGAGCCTCCCCTTGACCACTCCCCTCGACCCCTCCCCCTGGACCTCCTCCTTGACCCCACTCCTCCCCTCGACCACCCCTCCTCCTCGACCGCTCCCCCTTACCCCCCTCTCGACCCTCCGCTCGACCCCCTCCTCGGACCGCTGCGCCTTTACCCCTCTCCTCGACCGTCGCCCTTGACCCCTCCACCTCGACGCTCGCCTCGACCCTCCTCCTCGACCTCTCCTCCCTCGACCCTCCTCCTCGATCCGCTCCTCCTTGACCGCTCCCTCCCCCGCAGGTCCACGGCTCCGAGTCCCGCGAGGAGGCGCGCATCACCACGAGCTACCTGACGCGGCCGCGGGAGGAGCACTACCAGTGGGAGGTCGGCCCCTACACCGCCTGTTCCGTGTCCTGCGGCGGGTGGGTGTCCTGCGCCCTCGGGAGGCAGCCGTCACGAGTTTATTGTTGTTTTTTTTTTTGTTTTTTTTTTTTTTTTTTTTTTTTTGGTTTATTAATATTTCACCATGTTTTTTTTTTCTTTACTTTTTTACTTTTTGTTGATATTCCACCATCATTTTTTTTTCCTTTTTTATTGTATTTTGTTTATTGATTTATTTGTTCATTTTATTTTATTTTGTTTATTCTTTTATTTTTTATTTTTTTTTTATTTATTCCACCATCAATTTATTTTTTTCTTTCTGTCTTTGGTTCTGCTTGGTTCGTGTTTTTTTTTTCTTTTTTTCTGTTTTTTTTTTTTGTTTAAAGACGATTGATGAACGATCTGTGAACTCGTAAAATAAACATTATCTTTGTCTCTGTGTGTGTAAAGACTTCCATTAAAAGAAAAAAAAGAAAGGTATAACTCACAACAAAAGATATAGACATTAACCAAAAAGAGAGAGAGAGAGACAGACAGAGACAGAGACAGAGACAGACAAGACACAGGCACAGAGAGACAGAGACAGACAGACAGAGAGAGAAAAAAAAATAAAAAGAAAAAAAGCAGAAAAACCAATTAAGAACCTCCCTCATTAAACACAACAGGTGATTGATGATGATGATTAACAGCTGTCCCGACCTTGCAGAGGGCAGCAGCACCAGACGCTCGTGTGCCGGGACCGCCGCTCCGACCTGCAGGTGTTCCACGACCGCTGCGCCCACCTGGCCCGCCCACACCTCAAGAGCACCGACTGCAACACCTTCGGGTAAGTGGGGGAGGGGGGAGAAGTAATGGGGGAGGGGAGTAAGGGGGGAGGGGGGAAGTAAGGGGGAGGGGGGAAGTAAAGGAGGGTGGGGGAGACAGGGAGGAGAAGTAGGGGGAGGGGGGAAGGGGGGAGGGGTTAAGGTGTCTCTTTTCTTTTTTTTTTTTTTTTTTTTTTTGTTTTGTACGCACTCACACACACACACAACGCACACGCACACGCACACGCCACGCACGCACACGCACACGCACAGCACGCACACGCACACGCACACGCACACGCACAACACTTACACACACTTACTTACAACATATTGAACTTTATATATATATTATTATATATATATATATATATAATATATATATATATATATATATATATATATATATATATATACGTGTATATATATATTCATATATATATAAACATACATTTATTTATACATTCGTATGCACGTTTCCACGTACGCACTCTACATCCCTGTTCCATGTACGCACTCTACCTAAGCCTCCTCTCCCAAGGCACTAATGCCGTTGCGTGCAGCCATTTGCAACTTGCAGCGTGCAGAAGCGCTGTGCAATTCCCCCCGTAATTACTTTCCATGAAGCCAATGAGGATCAGAATCGCAGTTTTCGGGCAGGTGGGGTTAGCTTAGGAGAGGTGGAAGGGGGGTGGGAGGTGGGAGGGTGGGTGGGAGGAGGTGGGGAAGGGGTGGGAGGGAGGGGGTGTGGGAGGGGAAAGGTTGAGGGAAGAGGAGGGAGGGAGGGGATGGGGGAGAGGGGGAAGGGGGAGGGGAGGAGGGGGAGGGGGAGGGAGAGGAAGATGGGGATGGGAAGGGAGGGAGGGGGAAGGGGGAGGGAGGAGGGAAGGGGGATGGAGGGAGGGGGGGAGGGGATGGAGGGAGGGAGATGGGAGGAGGGAGGGGGGGGGATGGAGGGGGAGGAAGGGGGGGAGGGAGGGGAGGAGGAGAGGGGAGAGGGAAGGGAAGGGGGGGGAGGTGAGGGAAGGGGGAAGGGAGGGGAGGGAGGAGAGGGAGAGGGGGAGGGAAGATGGGAAGGGAGGGAGGGGGAAAGGGAGTGGAAAGGGGTATGGAAGGAGGGGAGGGTGGAGGAGGAGGGAAGGGAAGGGGTGGAAGCCCGGTTTCCATTTGAGAGTAGTCCGGGCGCAATGGCTGTGGGGAATCTGCCGTGAGAGTAACCAGATGTTGGGATAAATGACTCTTTTTAGTCGCAGATTGGAAGATGGGTACAGGTGACACACACGCACGCACGCACGCACGCACACGCACACGCACACGCACACGCACACGCACACACGCACACGCACACGCACACGCACACAACACACACACACAACCCCAAACACACACAAACACACATATCTACATCTCTCCCCCTCCGCAGGTGCGAAGCCCGGTGGGTGACGGGCCCCTGGGAGCACTGCTCGACCACGTGCGGGCCCCACGGCGTGCAGGAGCGCGAGGTGGCCTGCGTGACGCTTCCTCAGGCTGACTCTGCCAACTGGACGGCGGGCATCGTGGACCCCGAGCGCTGCAGTGCCACGCCGATGCCCGAGGCCGTGCGCGAGTGCCTGAGGGAGCCGTGTCCTGCGCACTGGATGCCCCTCGGATGGGGACAGGTCGGTGCCTCTCTGATCTGTGCCGTGGCGTGTGCGTGGATAGGTTTGTGTGTGTGTGAGTGTTTGTGTGTGTGTGAGGGGGGGGGGTGCGTGTGTGTGTGTGCGTGTGTGTGTGTGTGTGCGTGTGTGGTGTGTGTGTGTGTGTGTGTGTGTGTATGGGCGTGTGCTTGTGTGTGTTGTGTGATGGGGCGTGGTTGTGTGTGTGTGTGTGTGTATGGGCGTGTTTTGCTTGTGTGTGTGTGTGTGTGTATGTGTGTGTGCGCGCAGAATGCAGCTTCTAAACAATCAGAAAACACTCTTAATATCAGCGATGACACACCGATTTACATTCCCATCTGCAGTGGATTTCCAAATCAGAATTGGTCACAGATCATCGACATGACAGGAACACGACACACGTCTGTCCCGGAGCCTTCTGCCAGGTCATGTGATCATTTCATTTTGCACATTTTATGCACGGCTGATTAGCAGCGACGCGGGGAATCGGCCGCTGGATTGGATGATGTCCTAAAATCCTGTTAACTGTCAGTCATCTGGAAAAAAAATCGAGTTCACTATTGGAAATAATCTTTTTGCGCTGGCGGCCATGAAACTGATTTCTGCATTGCGTCCGTGTTGTCAGGAATTCACGCTCCGCTGATTTCCTTGCTGATTCCTATCTGTGGTGTATGTTGTGTGTGTGTGTATGTGAGTGTATGTGTGTGTGCGTGTGCATGTGAGGGATTATCTGTATTTATATGAGTATGTGACAGGTATTTTTATGAGTATGTGACATATGAGTATTGACGAGTATGTGACAGGTATTTTTATATATGTGACAGGTATTATATGTATGTGACAGGTATTATATGAGTATGTGACAGGTATTATTATGAGGTATATTTTTATATGTGACAGATATCATATGAGTAAGTATACGCATGTGAGTATATTTGCGCCCTAACTGACTGATCCAATTTCTCCCCCCCCCTCCTGCCGCCCTCGACGCAGTGCTCGACCACGTGCGGCGCGGGGACGCAGGCGCTGCAGTGGGAGTGCGTGGGCGGCGGCGGCAACGAGGTCACGTACGACTGCGGGCCGCGCCCTCGCCAGACGCGCGCCTGCGAGGACAGCCCGCCGTGCCCGCCCCCGCCCTGCCAGAGCGACGCCTCCGAGTTCTGCCAGCTGCCCGTCCTGCACCGGTACTGCAAGGTGCCCAAGTACCGCGAGCTCTGCTGCCACACCTGCGCCAACGTCCTGGTCTGAGGCGGCGGCGGAAAGGCGGCGGGGAGAGCCAGGGCGGCGGCGGCGGCGGCGCGGAAGGAAGGAAGGAGCTGCCTGTGATAGACAGATGAGATTGTGAGACTCTTATTTAAACAAAAGACTTCGAAGGGGACACACGGGGTCAGCGGAGGGAGGAGGGAGGAGGGGGCGTGCGGAGGGAGGAACGCAACTGCCGATTGCAAAGCTTTACATTGAATGGGGGGCGGGTGGGTGGGGGGGGGGGGCCCCAGCAGCCCGGCCTGACCCTTCGCGACCACGAGAGGCGAAGGTCAGGCGGCGACGAGGCTGTGTAGGCGAGCTGAGGCGACTGCGGCCGAGGAAGAGACGAAGAAGAGACTGAGGAAAGACCGAGGGAGGCCTCTGAGGACGGCGCCGCGACGGACCTGATAGCAGCTGTAGTGTAGTGTGTCATATGCTGTGTATATACATAATGCTTGCATGCATACATACATACATACTATATATATATATATATATATATATATATATATATATATATATATATATATATATATATATATATAAATATATGTGTATTTGTATGTACGTATATGTGTGTATACATACATACATACATACATACATACATAATATATATATATATATATATATATATATATATATATATATATATATATATATATATATATATATATATATATATATGCTGTGTCGATGGCAGGAAATGCAAATGTAAGTAGTGTCTAGAGCTTCACGTGTTGTGTCACAGAAAAATCCATTAGTGATATCCCATTGCTCTAGTATTTTATCATTCTTCCCATCTCTCTGAGAACATGCAAGCCATATGTAGGTGTTCAGAGCGCGTTGACAGCGATGCACATGCATAGCGCCCTCCATTCTGCAACTCAGTGGGGTGTGGCAGCGGCCTGGGTGTGTATGAGAGAGAGAGAAAAAGATCGAGGATTGCGGTGCTATGCCGTGCTGGAAGACCTCTCGCCGTACGGTCTGCAGAGCTGCTGGGGAAGCCGGGGCGGAGCAGACCACGTCCTCTGGTGCTGTTAAGTAAGCTGTTAAGTAAGCTGTTAAGTACCTCACAGACGCTTGGAAGGACAGTGTTCGTGGCAGAGCGAGGGGGGTGACCTGGACGAAGCCTGAGCGTGATATCGAGGTGTGTTCGTCGAGTGTATCTGCCCAGCGCTGTGTCAGAGGGAAAGACGAACCTCCTTGCAAAACTTTATTGACTGAGGGTTGCAAAAAGAAAGAAAGAAAGAAAAATGGGGCATGGGCGAGACCCGAGCCAAAACCAAACCCTCTCTGTGTATGAGTGTATGTACATATTATGATCATTATGATATTAGTAAATAATTCATCTTTCAAAGAGAGCTTTCAGATTACTGTTAATTTGTACGTGTTATTTCGTCTCTCTGTTCCCGACTGCTAACACACTTGTGGTTAGAAACGAATCTTTAGTCCGGTGCGTTGACTTTGTTTGTCTGATCAAATGCATCTTATATTGTCTTATAATATACATCCGAAGCGTGAGATTGTGCCAAGACAATGTTGTGTAGTGTCATATGTAGACGTGTTGATTGCCATGTTGTGGAAATAAAGAAATTTAACCTGAGGGCGTTTTCTTTTACTCCTTGATGTGAGAGAGAGAAAGAGAGAGAGAAAGAGAGAGAGAGAGAGAGAGATAGAGAGGGGGGGAGAAAGAAGAGGGAGAGGGAGAGAGAGAGAGAGAGAGAGAGAGAGAGAGAGAGAAAGAAAGAAAGGGAGGGAGAGAGAGAGAAAGAGAAAGGGAGAGAGAGGAGGGGGAGAACAGAAACAGAGGGGGGGGGAGAAACAGAGAAACAGAAAGAGAGAGAGGGGGAGAAAGAGTTGAGGAAGGGGGAGAAAGAGACAGAGAGGAGAGAAGACCGAGAACACAAATGAAAGAATTAAGACCGTACGTGTGTTTTCCTTACCTTGTGTGTGTCCTCACGCGAATGTTATCAAAGAAACAGACGCACAACAGAAAAAAAGCAAAGAAATTCCACTCCTCCTCTCGGAGCTTCACGGGCTTCATTCGAATCTCGTTTCAGTGTTTCATTCGAAGCGCAGGTTGACAGCTTCCCACGAGACTGGACTTAATCAGAGGAACTCCTGGAGCTTCGGGGTACATACAAAAAAAAGGCCTTAAAAGATCTTTTGAAGTCTGGAGGAGGAAAACGAGAGAGAAAAAAAGAAAAAGGGAAGAGGAAAAATGAAAGAGAAAAGGGAGGAATGCTCGAAGGGAATATACACTCGAGGAAATGAATATACGAAGTGGTAATGAAGGTGATAAAAGTGAAAGCAGTTAGTTTAATTAAATCAAAAGCAAAAGGCAATGATTATTATTATTATTAATTATCATTCTATTCTGTTCATCAATATTAACATTATTATCTAATTGCTCATCATTATCATTATTATTTCCATCATTTTTGTCATTATTATCATTATCTTCATCATCATCACCATCATCATCAGGTATCATTCTAAAATAAAAATAGTAGTAGTAATAATAAAAGTGATATTAATAATGACGGTGATGATGGCGATGATGATGATAATGATGATGATGTTAATGATGATGGTGATGATGAGAATGATGGTGATGGTGGTGATGAGGATGAGAATGAGAATGATGGTGGTGGTAAGAATGAGGATGGTGATGAAGATGATGATAAAAGGGTGATGATGGTGGTGGTGGTAGTGTGGATTACCATAATGGGAAAAGAAAATTATATGATAACTGATTATATAATAATGACGAAAATGAAAATAATGAAGTGGCTAATATTGATGATGATGCAAGGATATAAACAACATTAATAAATATAATATAATGATAATGATGACATAATAAACGAAATAAAATAATTACGTTAATATTGATAACAATAACACCAATAATAAGATTTAGTATTGCAAGATCAGAGTCGCAGCAGATATACCAAGTTTTCGAAAAAAAATAAAAATACATTTACCAAGTGCTCAACTAACACTTAACAGCGGAAGAGACCGTTTAGCTAACGACCCCTACCCCCCTACCCCCCCCTCTCCTATCCTCAGTCCTCCCTCGTCCCCTACCCCCTACCCCCCTCTCCTATTCTTAGTCCTTCCTTGTCTGTGGTTCGTGACAGAGGTCCAAAATGGACGCTCCTTCTAAAACAAAGATGAGTACCTTTTTTTACGTATTGTTGTCCTTTTTTAATTTACGAGTTATTAGGCAGGGGTCGATCTGTATCTGTTGTTTTTTGTTTTGTTTTGCTTTTGTTTTTAACTTTTTACTGGGTAGAGGTTACAAACACGGACGCGCGTAGATAGAGGGAAATGGACACCGCCATCTACGGAGGTCGCTTTGGAAAGCAAGAAAAACACTTGAGATTTCAGGCAAGAACTTTCCCTGCTTAAAACGCTTTTAGTGTTAGATTTGAATAGGTTGTTAGCTTTGATTAGGTTTTAGGTTAAGGTAAGGTTCAGGTTAGGTTTTAAGTTGCGTTAGGTTTTAGGTTAGGTTAGGTTTATTTTTATTTAAATCAGTCAATCACCACCGTTATCAATTATCAATCTTATTAGCATCATCTTGGTAATGATAATACATCTATTCATAACACCAGTAATGCAACGATAGTGATAATGATACTGACATCACTATCACTACTATTATTACTGTTAAACAACGATTAAAAAAAGTCCCAGTATTGCTACTATATATAATAACTTGCCACATTCAAACAGTTAGAATAGACACCAAGTACGTAATGTAGGTATTAGAAAAATATGCTTATTCTCGCGGCAAGACGAAAAATAGGTTTATATGCGTTTGTATGTAAACCTAACATAACATAAACATAACATAACATAACTTAACATAAACCCAGCCTAATCTAACCCAAACCTAACCTAACCTAACCGAACCTAATCTAGAACTAACCTAAACCCAACCTAACTTGAACCAAACCTTAACCCAGCCTAACCTAACCTAACCTAACCTAAAAACCTTACCTAAATCTAAACCTAACCAAACCAACCTAACACCTAACTAGCAAAACTAACCTAACCTAACCCAATCCAACCTAAACCCAGCTTAACAAACCAACTTAACCTAAACCTGACCTAAACCTAACCTAACCTAAACCCAAACCCAAACCTAAACCAAACCTAACCCAAACCTAAACCCAACCTAACCCAAACCTTACCTAACCAACCTTACCTTACTTACCTACCCTACCCTACCCTACTACCCTACCCTACCTACCTACCCTACCCAACCCAACCCCAACCCCAACCCCAAACCCCAACCCCAACCCCAACCCCCAACCCAACCCAACCCAACCCAAACCCAACCCAACCCAACCCACCCACCCACCAACCCACCAACCCAACCCAACCCAACCCAACCCAACCCAACCCAACCCCACCCAACCCACCCAACCCCACCCCACCACCCAACCCCACCCAACCCACCCAACCCCACCCCACCCACCCACCACCCACCCCACCCCACCCCACCCCACCCCACCCACCACACCCCACCCCATCTTGCGTGTGGGCGGAAGTACAAATGCGTAGGACACCCGTACGAATAATTATCATCAATCGGGGATACGGCTGCCGTACCAGTAGTCAACTCGTTATTTACTTTTACGAAAAGAGAACATACTAAGAAGGGAGATGAGATTTTCATTACTTGAATTAAAAAAAGAAAAAAAAAGAAAATTCAAAAGATTTATCATCATAATTTTTCGAGTCGACAATTGAATTAATTAAAGTGCCGGAATAATTAGCGTGATTATGAAGGCCTGAGATCACTTGTCACAAAAAAATAACGTAAATTATACATCGTGTATTTGTATCGATGTATCAAGTATGTGTATTAATTCATCATGGATAGGTATTAATACATCATGTAATTAATCATCATGTGTCAAGTATGTGTATTAATTCATCATGGATAGGTATTAATGTGTCATGTATGTGTATTAATTCATCATGATAGGTTTTAATGTATCAAGTATGTGTATTAATCATCATGGATAGGTATTGATGTATCATGTATGTGTCATCATGGATAGGTATTAATGTATCATATGTGCCTTAAAGTGTCACGTGATCTGTGTTATGTATCATGACTGTCTAATTCATCATACAAGTGTAATAATGTTTAATATATGCATATTAGTGTTATGAAGTCAAGACTACACTGAGTT